GTGAGTGCTCATTCAAGCTTTTGTGTCCAGGATGATTCGTGTGTTACAATGGATACTAATTCTCCTATTTATAACTTTATTTAGAGAGGCAAGCTGCTCAAATCAAGCTCCTCTTGCATGATAATAAAACCATCATTGATGGCTATATAACGGTTGGGTATAAATGCAGATATTCTCTGTAATGGTTATTCATTGAATGTTATCTGATATCATTTCCTCAAATTTTTGTTATCGATTATCCTGCTTCACCGGTTACATGCTTGCAACCGGTATTAACTAATTGCTAACTCACATCTTACCGGTTTTCAGCTCCACATATCACCTCCTCATTCGTCCAATCGTCATTAACTAATTTACCGCATAAAAGTATCGGGGCTGAAACCTTAAATCTCTAGTTAAAGGTGATAAATCTCAAACATTCAACCAAATTCTACGGTGGTCAATAAAGTGATTTCAATGAGATGAATTTGAAAGTTAACGTATAGGTTATTTTCGTACCTCAATTTTTGTAAGCACGCACTTAAAGAAACATGTTGCATGTTTCACCATAATTAACGAAAAAGAAAGTCGGAACCAATTATTATTCGTTTTGTCTTTATTACGTTTAAAAATGATCAGATAAACTTACAGCTGGAATTAGCTTAATCCTATTTGTGGGGTAAAGGAGTGCTAGCTTTCTTTGGCAGGTTAACGTTAAAATAAAGAATTGTTCGTATTCCCACGTGATTCATAGAGCTGGGAAGAATCTTTCTTTACTCAAGAAGAAAAGAGGAATGCATGTTAATTTGATTTTAAAGTATGAGATAAGGATTGGCAGAAAACAATGTTCAACTACATTTCTTCTTTTTGCTTTCTCGCTTGCCCAAAGTGTTAGGAAAGTACTTGTAGTCCGAATTTTAGGTCTAAATGACTGTTTTCATTGACTGTACAAAATTGGCCATCTCTCAGCTGCAGATTGTTAGTCAAATATTAAATTAAAGAAGAAAAAGAAGTCGGAAGTTATGACGATGGAGTTCAATTGTCATATTTTATTGTACAATAAATGTATACGGTCAAAATTAAGGAGCCCCATTTTGAAATCTTAAATTGGGCTATGAGTCCGAGTCCGGGCGACTCGGACTAGGGGTCAGACCCGATTAGGGGACGCACACCTCGAGGGAGCAGATCGAAAGCCTGGCACGACTGACATCGAGGGTCGTACAATCTCGAGGGCACTCAAGAAAGAGCGAAAATTTCTCAAGGACACGTGGGTCAGGGCATAAATTAAAGGATAAGATTTGTACGAAATGGTACATGTCCGTACTAGGTTACTGTACACATGTACCAATAGAATTCTTTACAACAATTAGGAATGTACTATATTGGGATTTTCTCCTCCTATATAAAGGGGACCTCAATCATTTTTGTAGGATCATCTCACACTATTTACTGCAATTGAATATTCTACTTTGCTTTTCTTGTTTAACGTGCTCAACAAGTGTTCTTCAGCTTTATTGCTTTTGCTTTATTATTCATACTTCACTGTTCTTAGCTGACCTCGAGGCCCCCAAGAAAGTCAAGCTCGAGGTCCTCATTGTTATAGCAACACTGGTTTGGTTCATTAATTCTTCTTATTTCAACTTAATATTACTCGTATATTCACTAGTATTAGAATAAATCACATATCTTTAAAACCACAAAATACATTTATTTGTTACCCCCATTTTTCGAGGTAAACAGTTTGGCGTCCACCGTGGGGCTAAAGATAATAGTGATTATTTTGGTGCTAGTTTTCTGATAATGCACGTTATTTTTTATACTTTTTATTGTCAAAGATTCTTTGATTTCAGGCTAAGATATGTCTAGCACACAAAACGCACCTGCTCATGACAGTGAAGGTCTAGGAGAAAACAACGGTATAGGGGTCGGTGCACCACCCATAAACCCTGAGGGAGTGCCGAATGTGGAGCCAGTTGAAATCAGTTCGCACAACGCTCTAAACACGGACGCATGCACATACCCCGCAAGGAACGCACACAGGAAAGCCCGAGCAGGAGGCCAAGAAACACGAGGGATGGAAGAAGGAGGAGTCAGCCTCCAAGTGATATTCGAGATGCTGCAAGCTCAGCAAGTCGCCATCGCTCAGCTTCAAAGTCAAAATAGAACTCCTAACATAGCCGAACCAGTGAACACTCGGCGTGCAGAATCAACGAGGCCCGATGAAAATGGCTCGGGGACTGACCCCGCTATTATGAAAATGCTCGAGGAGCTCGGAAGAAGGATAGAGACCGGAGAAAAGAAGATTGAAGAAAATGACAAAAAGGTGGAAACATACAACTCAAGGGTCGACCAAATACCGGGAGCACCTCTGATTTTAAATGGACTAGATTTGAAGAAGTTTTTGCAAAAATCATTCCCCCAGAGTGCGGCTCCAAAGCCCATCCCGAAGAAGTTTCGGATTCCATATATCCCGAAATACAATGGAACCACTGATCCCAACGAGCACATTACCACATACACTTGTGGCATAAAAGGGAATGATTTGGAAGACAATGAGATTGAATCAGGTTTGCTAAAAATGTTTGGGGAAGCTCTGTCTAAAGGTGCCATGATTTGTTACCATAACCTACCCCCGAACTTTATCGATTTGTTTGCCATATTGGCAGATTCATTTGTGAAGGCACATGTTGGTGCCATAAAAGTTGCAACAAGGAAGTCCGATGTATTCAAAATAAAGCAAAGAGAGAACGAGATGCTAAGGGAATTTGTATCCTGTTTTCAACCGGAATGAATGGAGCTGCCACCAGTCTCTGACCACTGGGTCATACAAGCCTTCACTTAGGGGCTAAATGAATGAAGTTCGATAGCTTTGAAACAGTTGAAGCAGAAATTGGTCGAGTACCCCGCTGTGACTTGGCAGATATGCATAACAGGTACCAATCCAAAATTAAAGTCGAGGATGACCAATTGGGAGCCCCCTCGGGCTCAGTTTATCCAAGCAGGTTACTAGAAAGGGAGCCAGGAAATACAGACAGGGGATCAAGATTCAATAAACAACGGTATCAACTATATGATCGAAGGAATAACGGCTCGAATAACAACACCTCTCGGAGAGATCGAAGAAGTGACCAGTGATAAGGTTCACGATGGCTCATGAGCAAGAGAAAATTCGATAAGCACGCCAAACCCGCCTAGGTCCCACAATTATCAGAATACAACTTTAGCATAGACGCATCAGGGATCGTCTCAACTATGGGATAATCAAAGATGCTAAGTGGCCCAGGCCAATACAGACCGATCCCTCCCAAAGGAACCCGAACTTGATGTGCAAATATCATGGCATGCATGGTCATAGAACGGAGGATTGTAGGCAGCTAAGGGAGGAAGTGGCTAGGTTATTTAATGAGGGCCACCTTTGAGAATTCCTGAGTGATCAGGCTAAGAATCACTTTAGGGAAAGAGATGCAGGTAGAAAGAATGAACCTAAAAAACCTCAATATGTCATTCACATGATCATCAACGGAGTTGACGTCCCACATGGACCCGTATTCAAATGTACCACGGTATCCATCACAAGGGAGAAACAGACTCGGGATTATATGCTCAAAGACACCCTCACATTCAGCGAGGAAGATATCGAGGCTTTATCTCAACCTCACAATGATGCACTGGTAATTTCTATCCTTTTAAATAAAGTTCAAGTAAAATGTGTTCTCGTGGATCCAGGTAGTTCGACAAATATAATCAGGTTGAGGGTTGTGGAGTAGGTCGGGCTTCTCAACCAAATCATACCGGTATCTCGGATCTTGAATGGCTTTGACATGGCAAGCGAAATAGCAAAGGAAGAAATCGTCCTCCCAGTCAACGTGGTCGGAACCATACAAAAGACCAAATTTCACATCATTGAAGGTGCTATGAGGTATAATGCTTTGCTTGGAAGACCGTGGATCCATAGTTCGAGGGCGGTGCCATCAACCTTCAATTAGATGATGAAGTTCCCAACAAAGGATGGCATGAAAATAGTATATGGAGAGCATCATGTAGCTAAGGAGATGTTTGCAGTGCACGACTTGGCACCGGTATTGGCGCCATCCACATCGAAAAATAGAAGGACAAACAGATGGCCAAATAGCAATCACAGCCCGTGCCCTCGGTTGAGCCCAAGGGACAGGTGTCAAATGAATAGGTTGCTGAGGGAGAAGAAAAAGATTTTCTCACCCCTCGAGCCTTCATTTCTCCCGAAGAATCAGATGCGATGAAGTCCATGGTCGAGGAACTCGAACAGACCATATTGATTGAGCATCTTCCATAACGAAAGGTATAACTAGGGATGGGTTAACCCCCGAGCTCAAGAAAAAATTCATTCAATTTCTTATCAATAACATTTATTGCTTTGCTTGGTCCCATTTAGACATGACAGGGATCCCACCAGAGATAACTACCCATCGACTAAGTGTCAATCCCAGATTTAAGCCGGTAAAGCAAAAGAGGAGATCTCAGTCCGAGGTAAAGCATGCATTCATCAAAGAAGAGGTATTAAAACTTCTCAAAAAAGGATCTATTAGGAAAGTAAAGTATCCCGAATGGCTAGCTAACGTAGTGGTAGTCCCCAAGAAGGGGAATAAACTAAGAATGTGTGTAAACTACAAGGATTTGAACAAATCATGCCCTAAAGAATCCTTCCCACTGCCCAACATCGATCTATTGATCGATGCTACTGCTGGCCACGAGATCCTTACCTTTCTCGACGCCTACTCCGGGTACAATCAGATTTAAATGAACCCGGAGGACCGGGAAAAGACTTCATTCATCATGAAATATAATACATATTGCTATAATGTAATACCCTCCGGGCTAAAGAATACAGGGGCCACATATCAATGCCTAGTTTATAAGATGTTCGAACATCAAATAGGCAAGTCCAGGAAGTTTATATTGATGACATGCTAGTTAAGTCCCTGCACGCAGAGGACCATTTGACCCATTTGCAGGTAACATTCGACATCCTAAAAAAGTACAACATGAAGCTCAACCCCAAGAAATGCGCTTTTGGAGTCGGCTCGGGAAAGTTTTTGGGTTTCATGGTATCAAACAGAGGTATCGAGATCAACCCCGATAAAATCAAAGCCATCGAGGAAATCATCGTAGTGAATAATGGGAAAGTCGTACAACGGCTAACCGGACGGATAGCTGCCTTATGTCGATTTATCTCAAGGTCATCAGATCGGAGCCATCATTTCTTTTCCCTACTGAATAAGAAGAACAACTTCGCATGGACTCCAGAGTGCCAAAAAGCTTTGGAAGAGTTAAAATGGTATCTCTCGAGACCACCCTTGCTCCATACTCCAAAGGAGGATGAAACACTCTACCTATATTTAGTCATGTCCGAGGTGGCTGTAAGTGGTGTGTTGGTTTGAGAAGATCAATGTACGTAAGGGTATGTCATCGAGGGTACGGACCCTCTTCACAGACGGTGCCTCGAATGTCAAAGGGTCCGGACTCGGCATCGTTTTAAAACCACCTACTGGCGGTGTCATCAGGCAATCTATCAAAACTCCTAAATTGACTAACAGTGAGGCCGAGTATGAGGCTATGATTGCAGGTCTCAAACTAGCCAAGGGCCTTGGGACAGAGGTCATCGAGGCAAAATGTGATTCTCCTTTAGTTGTAAGTCAAGTAAACGGGAGCTTCGAGGTGCGAGACAACTGAATGCAGAGTTACTTGGACAAACTTCAAATGACATTGCACCGCATCAAGGAGTGGACGCTGGATCATGTACCTCAAGAGCAGAATAGCGAGGTCGATACCCTTGCAAACTTAGGATCATCGGTCGAAGAAGATGATATTATCTCGGGGACTGTCGTCCAACTATCGAAGTCTGTGGTCGAAGAAGGCCATGTAGAGATTAATTCAACAAGTTTAACGTGGGATTGGGGGAACAAGTACATCAACTACCTGAAGTACGGGAAGCTCCCCGCACACCTAAAGGAGTCGAGAATACTTCGAACCAAAGCAAATCGATTCACACTCGATGAAAATCGAATGTTGTATAGAAGAACCTTCAATGGACCACTGGTAGTGTGCTTGGGACCTGGGGATACTGATTACGTACTGCGAGAAATCCACGAGGATACTTGTGGGAACCATTCTGGTGCAGACTCTCTGATTCGCAAGGTGATCAGAGGGGGGTACTATTGCGATACCATGGGAAATGATACCAAGGATTTCGTTCGAAAGTGTGACAAAATGCCAAAAATTTGCACCGATGATCCATCAACCTGGTGAACAACTTTATTCGGTCCTATCCCCATGTCCATTCATGAAATGGGAGATAGACATCGTTGACCCCCTACCAACGATGCCGGGTAAAGCTAGATTTATTTTATGACTGACTACTTCTCAAAATGGGTAGAAGTGCAGGCATTCGAGAAGATACGAGAAAAAGAAGTCATCGACTTCATATTGGACCACATCATATGTCGGTTCGGGATACCCGCCGAAATAGCGTGTGATAATGGAAAGCAGTTCATCGGCAGCAAGGCAACAAAATTCCTCGAGGACCAAAAAATCAAAAGGATTCTATCAACACCTTACCACCAAAGGGAAAATGGTCAGGCCAAGTCCACAAACAAAACCATCATTTGAAACTTAAAGAAAAGGTTAGATGATGCCAAGGGAAAATGGATAGAAGTGTTGCCCGAGGTACTATGGGCATATCGAACAACTTCAAAGTCGAGCACGGGGGAGACCCCATTTTCTTTGGTATAAGGTTCCGAAACATTAATCCTAGTTGAAGTTGGGGAACCTAGAGTCAGGTTTCAACATGCTACCGAGGACTCAAATCACGAAGCTATGAACACTTCTCTCGAACTACTTGATCAAATGTGAGGCCGCATTGATTCGAATGGCCGCGCAAAAACAAAAGATCGAAAGGTATTACAATAGAAGGACGAACCTTCGATATTTCAAAGTCGGGGACTTGGTCCTAAGAAAAGTCACTCTCAACACTCGAGACCCAATGAACGGAAGCTAGGTCCCAGTTGGGAAGGACCATACCGTGTCCTCGGAATCGTAGGGAAATGATCTTACAAACTTAGCACAATGGAAGGCGAGCAACTACCAAACAATTGGAATGTATCGATGCTCAAGCGATATTACTGCTAAGGTATGACCTTCTCCTTTTTTCCATTTGTATTTAAAACTAACTCCTTATAGATGTTCGATAGGAGATATCGAGGCATCTTTCAGCTCGAAGACCTTGGGTTTGAAAGCATGCATTGCACTCTTTTTCCTTAGATCGGGTTTTATCCCAAATGGGTTTTACTGGCAAGGTTTTTAATGAGGCAACACCTATATGCTACCTAAGGAACATTCAACAAAGTATTCAAGGCTTCTTTTCGATCAACCTCGAATACTGGGGGGCATCACCCTTGGAGGTTATATTTTTTGAGAAAGATATTTCATGCCTAAGAGGGCCTCGATAGGAAAACTTTGTAATAGGCCAAACGGTCAGATGAACCGTGTCCATATAGAATTGTCGAGACCCGACGGCAAAACACGTATGCATGTATCAATTATTTGAAGAAGCATTCTGTTAATAACAAAAACACTTTGTATCTCAAAGAAGTCTACTATTATACGAGCTCTACAATTATAATCCTACGGGAAATGACTCAAGAGCCAAAGCATAATAGCACCCCTGAATACTCGGGTATTGTCATCGACAGTCAGTACATCCGAGTCATCGAAAATTCGAACTCATAAGACCTCAAAGAGGTACCCCCTCGAAACAAAGGCAAAGCCGATATACTCAAGGACTAACTTTTCGAACAAGTTAGAAAAGTTATCGGAAAACAAGTCCAAGTGACATACCTGAAGGCTACAACTATATTAGAGACTACGGTCATATAAAGGCTACGACCAAAATAATGTAGCTCGGAGACGTCCGACTTCTGCCATAAATTAAAGGCCTTTGAATATTGAAAAACCGGTTAAATCAGGCTACCCTCGACAAAAGCAAAATATATGGGGCTTCGATAAATTCAGCCCTCGAAAATCTAAGGGCTTCGATAAATTCGGCCCTCGAATAATCCAAAGGCTTCAATAACATCAGCATTCGGAAAAACGTCAAGAGGTATTCGATGATGTTTACACAAACAAATTTCTAATAAGATTCCGATACGTCGAACCTTCGAAAAACCCAAATGGGTTAAAAAAATACATGCTAAGGCATACAAATTTTTTTACTAAGTCTTTTAGCCGGAAAGAGGGAAAAATATAGCCATTTTAAAAGGAGAAACAACCCAACTTAAAGAGCTTAAGGGCCAACTTAAAAGAGCCTAAGGGCCGATATATAAGAGCCTAAGGGACAACTTAAAAGAGCCTAAGGGCCGATATATAAGAGCCTAAGGGACAACTTAAAAGAGCCTAAGGGCCGATATATAAGAGCCTAAGGGACAACTTAAAAGAGCCTAAGGGCCGATATATAAGAGCCTAAGGGACAACTTTAAAAAAGCCTAAGGGCCAAAACATGTAGAGGTCGAGATCCTGTTCTCACTCAACTCAGACTTGAAAATTCCGATGTCCCGAGCTCACAACAAATCAATTTAAGTTTATCTCGAGGATTAACAAAACCCTAAGGGGTGTTATATTTATCAAGTAAAAACCTAAGGGTTTATTACATTCTGAGTCCAAACCGATACTCGAACTGATTATTTGAATTATAACAATCTTCCACAAATGAGAACAAAGTAAAATTCAGCACAAGTCGAAGATAGAACAAAAAGATACTTTATATTCATAAGGGAAGTTTTCACAAAACATATTTACAACGCCTGCAAGGGGCCCTTGCACAGAAAAGAAAAAGAGAACTTAATCTATCTTCGGGGTCATATCCCCGAGAGCGCCATCCTCAGGAGTTGCATCTTCGGTAGCTCTATCTTTGGGAGAATCTTCTTCTCCTTCCTTGTCCCCGGATCCACTCACCACATCCTCATCATCGGAGGAGACAAGAAACCTAGCATCGATTTCCTGTGCCTTTGCTTCGGCTATCTCCCCGGCGAGGTCGAACCCTTAGGCATGAATCTCTTTAAGAGTCTCCCTCCGGGCTTGGCACTTAACCAATTCATTACTCCATCTCCCTCGGTCGGAGTCCTCCCTTAACTCAGCTTGAACGACCGCAGCTTCCCTCATGTATATAGAAATGGATTTATCAGCCGCAACCTTCATCTTCTCAACTTCGACCTTAGTCTGTACTGCTTTGGCCTTAGCCTGCGCAACTTCAGCCCGGGCTTTAGCCAGCTCTACCTCCAACCCTTCAATTATCCTAGCCATAGCCAGACCCTTCGCTTCAACACCTCGAAGCTGAGCTTCAGCCGAGGTTAGTTGGGCCACAATAGCTTCTTTATCGGAAACAAGTTGATCCATGTTCTTCTTCCAATGATGAAAATCAGCCCGAACTTAATCTACCTTACCTCGGAGCTGCCCAATCATATTCAGCTTTTGCTGCAGCTGACATACCGAAGCATTAGCCTTCGAAGTAGGGCCAAGAAGGCCAAACTCTTTTAAAATCATGGTTACCTGCTTGTCTAGTTCGGATTTGCTTTTTTGAGCTTTGGCCAACGCAGTTCGGAGATCCTTAAGCTCCTCTTCCTTTTTTCTATAGAGGAGCCTCAGGGCCTTTTCTTCACCCGAAACTTTCTTAAGCTCGGACTCGCATTGGCTCAGCTCGTCTCTAAACTTTGCAATGGCCTATACATGAAATGAAGATATATCAGTCAAAAGAAAAAAGATAAAAAATTTCAATATTAAGGTAAATACTTACCTGGGAAAGGAGATGTTGAGCCTCCTCAAATATAGTGGATGCATCATTCAGGTCATCGGCATCCTCAATCCCGACATAGCAACTCTGGAAAATATCGTCCCCGATGACCTTACTTGGATCGGGCATGTGTAGAGCGTTGGCTTCATTGATAGCCCCCTGAGAAAAGGTTGGCAATGAAAAGGAGTGACCTATTGTCGCAGCCCCGAGTTCTTCACTCGGGGCATTCTCATTACCATTGGGGGCCTCAACATCTACCCCCTTTAGAATGGTTGTTGAAGACGGAGGGACAATCTCAACCTCCGTGGACATAGTGGTATTGCAGTTTTCTTCCCTCCGGGCATCCTCACCACACGATAGGTTTTCTAGTTTGGAAGGCTCGCCGGCCTCGACTGGCTTCCTGGTCCGAGTCACCAGCCCCGACTCTTCCTCATCATTTTTCTCACCATTCAGGGAGTCATGGGCCGAGTCTGTGCCCGTTTGAGCAAACCTTTTCTGCAGCCTTCGAGTGGAGGTCTTCTTGTCTTGGTGGTCCTCGGGTTTCGAGACCCTTTTTCTTTTGTTGTCCTTCTTGGACTTTGGATTTGAAGGCTTGGTTGTTTCCCCGGGCGTCGTCGGTCTCATCTCGGACGTATCTCCAAGGCCTGCATAGGTAAGCGTGAGTATGTAAAAATACCGCCAAGTGTATGGAAAGTGATGAAATAATAGAAAGGCACTTACCGTGGTTCTTGGCCTCCCACCGGCCCCTCGCTAAATTGCACCACTTGCGCTCATCGTAGAAACAAGTGGTAGCTAACTTTCTGACCTAATCCTCGAGGTCGGGTACCGCTAGGGGCGCCCAAGCTTTGGCTGCCAAAGAAAGATAGGGGCGTTAAAGAATATGAATGCTTACAAGAAATACGAACTCCACTTATGGTTAAATTCCACTCTCCGGGAAAGACATTTTTTCCTCGGGGATGATGTTCAAAGTTCTTACTCTAACAAACCGGCTCATCCAACCCCGGTCTTTGGGTTTGTCGGTGCTGGTGTAGAAGGACTTCATTGTTCGGCATTGCAGCTTGATGAGCCCTCGAAAAAATTGGGGCCAATACAACCGCACCAGGTGGCTAAAGGTGAACTCCAAACCCTTGGCTTTTTCAGAAAAGTACCGCAACATGATCCCGATACGCCAAAAGAAAGGGTGGATTTGACTGAGGGTGAATTCGTACGTCTTGTAGAAGTCAATCACCACCGGATCGAGGGGACCGAGTGTGAAGGGGTAAGTGTAAACACTCAAAAAACCCTCCTTATGGGTAGTTATGCTTTCATCAAGCCTCGGGATACGAACCTCGACCTCGTCTCCCCACCGACAATCCTTCTTTACTTCATCGGTGAGCTGCTCCTTTATCAAGCTAATGTATCGGGATACGTGCTTGCATCGGCCTTCAACATCGGGAGGATTCTCGAAACCAAAGTCCTTTTTGATGATGCAATCACCAAGAGTGATTTCTTAAAGTGTTGGCGGCACCATCGGTTTGGCTGGCCGGGAGGTGGAGGAAGATGATGCTTTATCTTTTTCGGGACCGTCTTAGAAATTTTTGCCATGGTTGTAAGCTAGAGAATGCGGGTGCACAGGGATGTGGTATTTCGGGCAAGAGCTTGGTGTTTTCCGGCACATAAAAAGGCGGAGGAAGCAAGTGATTGAAAAAAGAGATGAAGATGAGAAAGGATTGAAGAAAGGGTAAAGTTCTTTGCTTAGAGAAAACGCCTCATATTTATAGAGGGCCAATGATGGTACGGTGGCATTAGTGGCCGACCAACGCTAACGTATATTCAATGTTTTTGGGGAAGTGGGCCGATGGGACGTTTCGGCCACTTCGAGCTCTGGCATCACGAGGATGACATCATTACTGGGGGCTTCGGGAATCCAAATCGTTTCATATCATTTCATTCTAAGAGATGCGTGGACTATCTGTATATGGTCAAAATCAAGGAGACCGATTTCGAAGTCTTAAATTGGGCTATGAGTTTGAGTCCGAGCGACTCGGACTAGGGGTCAGACCCGATTAGGGGACGCACACCTCGAGGGAGCAGATCGAAGGCTGGCACGACCGACATCGAGGGTCGTACAATCTCGAGGGCACTCAAGAAAGAGCGGGAATTTCTCAAGAACACGTAGGTTAGGGCATACATTAAAGGATAATATTTGTACGAAATGGTACAGGTCCGTACTAGGTTACTGTACACCTATACCAATAGAATTCTTTACTACAATTAGGAATGTATTATATTGGGGTTTTCTCCTCCTATATAAAGGGGAACCCAATCATTTTTGTAGGATCATCTCACTCTATTCACTGCAATAGAATATTCTACTATGATTTTCTTATTTAACGTGCTCAACAAGTATTCTTCAGCTTTATTGCTTTTGCTTTATTATTCATACTTCACTGTTCTTAGCTGACCTCG